GCAAAATAGTGTTGACAATTTAACAATCTAAGTTTATTGAAACTTTGTACCTAGGTTAATCTAACTTGTATTAGTGTTGCCTTAACTCTTAAGTCAAAGTTAGCTGAACCTCTGTCTATAGGTAATTTGTTGAACTTTTGTAACTGAGTTGACTTAACTCAAAAATGTTATCGCAGCATTTTGCCTTGAATTTTTGAGTTGGCTGAACATTTTTTTTTTTACAGTGTATAATAGGAATACGAGGTAGCGGATTTCGCCAGTGTCAGTTTTGCTTCTTCACAGGAAAAAAAATAAAAGTATGGTTGGTATGTAACAGCTATAGAATTCTAGAAAAAAGTTATTAGGCCTATATTAAGACAGGTTTTCATATTTATTTCTGCACATCTTCATGAGTTTATACGGTTTGAGAACTGCAAAAACTCTTAAGCGGAAACATAAACATGCTTCAAAAAAATATTGTTCAACTGGACTTTTCACAGAAACATAAATTGAACCAGTTATGGAATTTAGTAAACTTTGGACGCTGTTGAAATATACATACATTTGTTGGACAAATGAACCTTTTCAAACGCTGCAACGTTTACTTACAGACCGTTGTGAAAGTGAAAGTAGGAGTAGATTTTGTAAAAACAGGATGTTTTTCACTGCGTAGGTTATAAATATTTTAAAGTAGCAGTTGAAATATTTTGTATAGTCATAGGCATGGTGTTTTTCACTCAGTTCATAAATATTTCATATTGCAGCAATTCTCATTTCAGGGTTATTGTATACGTAAGCTGACATAAGATGCTTGGCTATAATTTAAACTTAAAGGAAGTTACAAATTATCTTATAAGTTGCTTCAAAGTAAATCATTCCTCAAATGGATCCTTGTATACAGACAATGCTTCGTATCCGCGGGTTCCGTAGGCTATACAGTATACTTGCATGCAGATTCAAGCAGGCGTGGACCTCGTCTGTACTGAACATGTAGGCCTACAAACTGTTTTTTCGTGTCATTATTTCCTAAATAATGCATTAGGCCTATAACCGCTATTTACATTGTGTCTTAAAATTAATGTAGAGTTTATTTAAAGTATACAGAAGGATGTGTGCAGGTTACATACAAATACTACGCCATTTTAAATAAGGAAAAAATACAAGTAGGCTTATTTAACGTTTACTAATTAGGCTATTAGAATAAGTTTTATTATTCATATTGGTTATGAAATCTTGCTATACGCATCATTTGAGTTCTCTCACGGTTCGAGAATAACGGTAACTGACATTTCCAGCCAAAGACTTCTCAAAAAAAAAAAATATATATCGTGTAGCTGTAGTTATACCAAAGCCAATAAATGGACGATTTACGGCGTTTCATACATTTTGTACGTCATTGAAACATTCATACTTATTTGAGAAACTCACCTTTTCCAAACAGACTTCGACCACCACAGTTTTTACAGACAGTTCTGAAAATGAAAGTATATAAGGCGATCAAAAGCATTTTATATAGTCACCCAAGGAACGTTGGCCACACCATGGTTCATGAATATTTAATATTGTTGCGATTTTCATTTCAGTGTTAGCATACAGCCGGGGACGTAGCCAGAAATTCCAGTTAGATTCATAATCATACGTGTTCAGTGGCTGAACACGTATGATTATGAACACGTTCTGCACCCCCTGAATCTGTCAGGGTATTCATGCCTCTACTGCGACCCTACGTACAAGTGCTGACATACAACGCTTTACTATAATTTAAACATCAAGGCATTTTCCACTTCTAAGTCATTTGGCAGCAAAACGTTTGCGCAAATGGATTTTTGTTGTTTGTTTATATTTGGTAGCCTATATTACATAAACTTGTTTGGTTAATTATATAGGAATCCGGGGTAACGGATTTCGCCAACGTCAGTTTTGCTTCTTCACAGGAAAAAACATAAGTATGGTTGGTATGTAATAGTTATAGAATTATAGGGAAAAAAAATTATAAGGCCTATATTAATACGGGTTTTGATATTTTTTTCTACACATCTGCATGAGTTCATATGGTTTGAGAACCTCAAAAACTCTTAAGCGGAAACATAAACATGCTTCAAAAAATATCGTTCAACTGAACTTTTCACAGAAACATAAATTGAACCAGTTATGGAATTTAGTAAACTTTGGACGCTGTTGAAATATACATACATTTGCTGGACAAATTAACCTTTTCAAAAACATTCGACCGCTGCAACGTTTACAGAAAGTTGTGAAAGTGAAAGTAGGAGTAGATTTTGTATAAACAGGATGTTTTTCACTGCGTATAGGTTATAAACATTTTAAAGTGCAGTTGAAACATTTTGTATAGTCATAGGCATGGTGTTTTTCACTCAGTTCATAAATATTTCATATTTCAGCAATTCCCATTTCAGGTTTATAACCAAAACAAGGGTCCGCATCAATATAAATGCGCGCGCACGCACACATACGCCCGTAGTAGTGGTGCGCAAGTCGGCTCTGACGCCATCCGAATCCGCAGGCATGTATAAAACATGCACTCGCCACGAACCCGTACTAATTCTTTTCTCCGATTTAGACACCCACACCGAATCACACATTGTCAGTATTTCTCAGTGGGATACATGTAAGCGCCAATATTATCTTATTTTATCTTTTTAAAAAACGTTGGTACCAAGCTCCCATGATCTGAACAATGTTTATGCTAGCCGACTATGTAGGAAGGCTAGCAACATCATCAAGAGCCCCACCCGTCCGGGTTACAAACTCTTTGCTTCTCTTCTATCGGGCAGAAGATTCAGAACCATCAAGTTACGAACGCTCAGACTGAGGAATAGCTTTTTCCCCGAGAACAGTGGTCTCCGTTACACCCCTTCCCACTACAGAAGACTGAGCTTTAAGTCGTTTCCACACCTCTGTATTACTGCTGATATGCACTTGGTCACTTTTAAATCACCTTAACTTGTAAATACCTATAATCTGTAAATAATTTTGGATATTTTCATCCAGCACACTGTAGACTGCACTAGGGAATGTATTTTTATATTGTATTTTATTAAAATTTCTTAGGTTTATTTATATTTATACCATGTCTATGAGACTGTATTCTATATTAATGTGGTACATTAATGTATACCTCTTTGCTGCTGAGCCATGAGCTACCAAACAAATTTCATTGTATTTCTGATACAATTACAATAAAGTCTCTTATCTGTTAGTATATTACACTGAATTAACAAATAAACATTTAAAGTAAAAAATTGATTTCATAGAGCCTAAACTATCTTGCCTAGTGACTGACAAGCACGCACGAACCATTTCTGTGGTTTTTGTTCTCTTGCTCTATTCATCACAATCGCGGTGGATTTAAAAAAAAAAAAAAACTTAAATCAGGAACTGTGTTGTGTTATTCTATACAAATATACATCCAGAGCCTTTACATCTCATTTGCCATCTGCTACTGGAACCACTTAATGAAGTATCACACATTTTTATAAGGAAGTAAAATTAGTAAATTGTTAATTTACATTTAGTTGACAGACGCTTTTATCCAAAGTGATGCACAGTTGAGAATGCATGTCAGTCAATCCCTGGAGCAATTGGGGTTAATTAAGGGCCTCGCTTAGGAGCTCAATAGTGAAATCAGTCTGCCAACCACAGGATCTGATCCAATGACCTTTAGATCACGGGCATTATAGTGGGTTATTGTACTCATGCACATTAAAAAAAATATATACCTAAAAAACTAGTAAACAAAAAAACAAACAAAAAAAGCTTTATATTTGATAAAAAGAGGCTTCATACCTATGGGTTCTTTAAGGAGCTCTGGTTTCTCCTCCTTCACTTATCGCTACTCATTACGTACTGCTGCTGCCTCCCATTTTCCAAACACTAACTTCTAGACCTGACAATGAATGCATTGCATTTTCCTTATCCGTTCATGTTAAATTTAAATTTATTTTACCAGATGCTTTAATCCAAAGACACAATACAGAAACTGAGGTTAAGGGCATTTCTCAAGTGAAAACACTCAATCACAGGATTTGAACCGGTTACCTGCCAAAGGTTGCTGAGCCTCACTGGCCCCATCATCTACTGACATCAACCATTAAAACTTACAAATTTTCAATATGCTTTATCCTACAGGTTGCTTTGAAGTAAAACGTTCATTACTTGATTTGGTATAGTGCTTGAAGTGGTAAAAAACACGTGTCGCTAGCAAAGATTGTTAACCATTAGAGAGAGTTCTACGCTACAAAACAGGGCTGTCAGGGATCCGGGCGGCTCAGGCACGAGAACGAGGCATAGTGCAGGCACAGAAAGGGCGGACGACCCACTTGCGGCTCCAGGAACAGAAGGGGTTTATTAAATAAGACAGAAAAACTACAAACACAAAACCAAAAGGACCACGGGGGGTCAAAACTAAAGGGAATAAACTAAGATTAAATCACAAAAACCGAATACACATCAAACATTGAAAATAGCAGAACCATCAAAGAACAACACACATAGACAATCATAGACAATGAACCACCAGAGAACTGAACAGAAGCAGGAACTAAAATACTAAGGGGTAACGAGACTAACACAGGACAGGTGAGACTAATTAAGAAAGACCATTGGAAACAGGGCACAGGTGAAACTAATAAACTCAAAGGAACTAAAAAAACAGGGAAACTAAGAACTAACCAAGGACACAGGGAAACAGAAACCAACACTAGGGAATTACAAACAAGTAAAGACACAAGCAGGGGCACAAGGAACAAAACCAAAAACCATATACAAAATCACCAAATACAATAACTAGACAAACTCAACTGAAACACTAGGGAGCAAAATACAAAAACCAAGGAAGGCGGGATTTGAACACAGGACAGAAGAGTACACAGACAACCACATGCTCAACACATTGAGCCACATGACCAGACAGGTAACCAGGGAGAACAAAGACAGCTGGACGGGATGACCAGCAATGCCTGCTGGTCAAACGGGGAAGGAACACGGAAGGACCACAGCAGGGGCTGACCCTGACAAGGGCTGAGTTTCCCAAAAGCAATTCATTGTTGGAATTATTTGCTTCTGAGACATGAGTTAATTGTTTTTGCGTAAGTACAGGCTTTTGCAGCTAAACCATAGTGTCCTGCTTATCACGACATGAACACCAAAATCCAGGCAACCAGGTTTATTGTGGGAAATACAGAGAGTCGTCAGTAGCCAAGTCCGGGTCGTAGCCAAAATCCAGAGATCAACCTGGAGACATGGACGGCACACACACACTGAAAAAAGAGACCAACTTAAAAAAATTGCTTTGAAAAAAGAGAATTGTTGGAAACTTTAAGTTGATTTGTCTAAAATTTCAGTTGCATTAATAAAAACTATTGATTTGAATGTGATAAGATTATTCAGTACACCTAACTTAAAACAAATGGGTTAATTAAACTTAACTTGATTTGAAAAAACTTAATTCATTTGTGTGTTACCAATTGAAGCAATTTTTTTAAGATGGTCCAACAATTCTCTTTTTTCAAAACAATTTTTTTAAAGTTGGTCCAACAATTCTCTTTTTTCAGTGTACGCACTGCACTCTACACTCATGACCGTAAGGCCACTCATAGCTCCAACACCATTGTTAAGGAAGCGGAGACACACTGGAATGACACACATGATATGCTGCAACGTCTGTATCAGTAGCGGGAGCCTGTGACTGCAGATCTTTCAGCACTTCAGACAGATTTGTCCCCACTAACAGCTCATCAGTATGACGCCACAGCACACTGCATAACATGCTGCCTGCTTTCTGTGTAGCAACTATGGAACTCAGAGTATCGGGATCAAAGACACTCCCACTTATTCATATGCTGCGCTTCACATTAAATGAAACAATGTGTCAGACCACCAATGACATGGCCAGCCAACCTGGAGGAAATATTTACAGTCCTTAGTAGATAAACTGTCTGTAGCAGAAATAATGAGTGTTTTGTGTCTGGCAATACTGTTAGACCTAAGAAATAACTGCACTCACACCCACTGAGTGGCAGCATTAACACGCATCTCGAATGCCGCAAAACAACACAACTAAAATGCAGTTAGGGCTCTCAAGTCTCACGCATTGGCTGTTAGACACGCATTTCAACCAGTTCACATGCTCACAATCCACACTTTGTTTCTCACTGTGAGAAATAAGGCATAACCCCCACCAAGGTGTCCCTTTATAGAATTAAAGGACGAGGGGCAGGCAGATGGAGTGGAGTTTTCAGCCGAGTTCATAGCCGTTATCAGTTAAACAGAGTTAATAGCTCATTTACCAACCAATCAGAATATAGCATTTGTTGTTTCTGGGTAAATTCCAAAATAACTTGAACGTGATCCCGCTGCAAGCACATTATTACATGGATGCACACATACATGGAGTGCAGACAATGTGGAAGAGGAAGATCTGATGACTGCGGTAGGCAGGGCTCTGAAGTGTCACGCATTGACCTTGAGACACGTTTCAGCCCTAATGTAATCTCACTCCAAACTTTTGATGAAGCTTGAGAGCCCTGTAATAATGGGAAGGAGCTGTTGTGCAGTTGATTGCACAAATTGGTTTAACAAGAAACAGGAGCTATCTTTTTACAG